CATTACATTTGACGACCTAACAAGTCGGGACGAAAGCAAGCGCGAGAGCTTTCCGTCGGCAATTTAGAGATTTGATAGCAAGGGGGAGGGACCCCTATCCTTCAGCCGGGGAATAGCGTGGAACTAGGTGCCTCATATATAAAAAAAAAACCATATGTAAGAAGCCCAGAAGGTATTCCTTTCTGAGCGTGAAAACCTACATAGCTCCTTAACAGGAAGCATACAAATGCGTCTGTCTAAATGGCTAATAGCGTTTCGCTCCAGACAGTATTTGTATTTCTTGTCGAGACTGAATTCTCTACCTTAAAGTTACCTAAATATCTCATGTAGTGTTGGATCTCACAATGGCCGGAGCTACAATATCAAAGGTCGAAGGTCTGCAGCCGCTGGAGTAACGGGTGCAATGTTTTCAACGTCCTGCTTGGCTTATTACCGATAGATATTTTCATCGAAAACTCGATTACTAACAGCGCCAGACTACGTGCCTTGGGGCTCTGAAAGGAAAGACCGTCTGGGCATAGTTGCATCATAAACGCATTATAGTGTAAAATTAATCGGTCCTATGCTAAATATCGTAATCGTCAGTAAAAGTGGCATGAGTGTCTCGCTCGGGGAAATCAAGCGCGGAATTGCCGACAGAGATGGAACTGACCAGAATCGTATAGAATTACCCGGAAGTTTTGGGTGTCCTATGACCCATTTAAAACCAGGGCTCTTTGGGGAATGAGAAAAGAAAATACCTACAAACTTACGACAGTCTGCATAGGGCACTGGCCCGTAGGGATACATGCCGAAAGGATTGGCTTACGTTTCAACTGGTTTTGTCGCTGCTGCAAGGGCCAGGGAACAAAGGAGACGGTCGAACACTTTCTGTGCGAGTACCCGTTCCTCGCAAGGATGAGGCTAAAGATACGCGGCAAACCATTCCGGCAAAATATTTCATAGTACAGCTGCCTTTCTGTATGACGTACTGAACTTAATTGAAGCTGCCAAATGGCTGTAGGTTGCGCGAGTTGTGAAAACAAAATGGTAAAACTTGCTAATTGTCAGTCACCAGGGTGATAATCCACTTAAACCAACCAATCAACAATATGAGATTGAGGTGGATTAACCCGGGCAAGAACAATAACTTCATAACATACCGAAAACCAGCCGGTTTCGGAGTTTTAACAACGATAAAAGCGTTTCCTAACTCGAAAATGGCAGCAGAAATGAGAGAGTAACACTCAGTGAGAGTTACTCTCTTCAGTCCGAAGTAGTCAGAAGAATTTTTGCTGGAAAAATCTTAAAAAGTGTCAAACTCAACTGAATTTAAATTAACCGAATCTAAAGAATGCACGAAAAGTGAGAATAATTTAAAAACTAAAAGTGAATTGAATCGAGCCCAAACCCCCAAAATAACGTAAGCGACATTTTTTTTTCGAAATTTTCTTTTTGATGTAGAACTATTCCTACAGCATCTAAATGCATTTCTGCATCAAATAAAAATTTCTAAAAAAAAGGCCGCTTACGTTATTTTGGCGGTAAGGGCTCGATATGTTTTTCCAGAATCAGCTATAACTTACTATCTACTCAGTATTTTGGTACATACATACATAGCTGATAATTGAGGCAAAAACTTACTTTATATTTTCGATGCTTATCTTCCTTATCATTTTCCTGTGGACTATCAGATTCGTCGGTTGTTTTTATAAAAGATGAATAAAATGATGAGAAACTGGAGCCATCCATGTCATCACTGTTACCATTGCTATCTGTATTAGGCTGAAAATGATTAAGCAAAAAACGACATTATATGAAAATTGTGTCGAAAATTGTATTTTTATTTTATTTTATTTTTTTTCGTGGACATTTAACAGCAAAGCAATTTATCTCGAGTTCTTATTTTAGCCTTATATGTTGTTTTACAACGGAAACTTAGAATATCGCACAGTGCTTCCCATCCATATAAAATGTGGGCAAAAATAGAATTATGGACGGATTTAAATGAAAATTCGCTTCTTAGTAAAATTGAGGACGCTAAATACAAAAACACAATTTGTTTTTGGATAACTTTCTTACGCACTTTCACTGCAAATGCAATTTGAAGTTGAAAATTTGGGTTCTTGTGGCATTTACCTGTTACAACTGTTACAA